ATCCTGTCCGACGGTTTTCAGACTGTTGCCGCGCTCTGCGGTCTCATGAAGGAACTTGAGGACAATCCTGAGATGGAGGTGCCTGAGAACCTCGTCAGTGTGTTCGTCAGCGGCATCGAGGTAGATTACGTCAGCTATCCTGGAGTTTACGATCGGGATTATCATGTATCATGGCAATGCATGCGCCATGACGAGGGCCAGAACAAGTATCGCCCCACGAGCGTGGCCCAGAAAGTCGACTGCGTGGAGCGCTACAGGCGGCGTGCTGCAGGCAGGCTTGGTTCAGGGTAACCTTCCCACGTTTCCCTGCCCAATTTTGTGGTTCATGTGTGATGCCAGGGGGAGACTACAAGGCCGTCAAGGAGAGCCTGATGCAGGTTTATGGTAAGGGCAAGGAGGTCACGATCCAGCGATGGATCCGCTGTCACCAGCACTTGCCTGAGCCCGTCCTCGGCGTGCTGAAGGATATGAGGACTGTGCCTGACATCTGGATCTTTGACAACCCCTACTTCCTCGGCCCAGGCTGGCAGTCTATCATTGTAGCTTCAGTCTGGCCTTTAAAGTGTACACTTGGTTCATCCCCAAACCCTCTGGGTAAGTAAATATTATTGCCAGGAGCGCAGAAGCTGAAGCCTGATGACGCGATCAAAGTGCTCCAGCTTGCCAGGGATATGAAGGAGGATGGCAAGGAAATTGGCGAGTCGATTCTCAAGAATCAGCTGTGTGCGCCAATGGTGGTCAAAGCTTCGTGGCACAAGGCCATGCTAAAGCAGTTTGGTGAGGTGTGCAGGTCCTCAGCTGCAATGGCACGGGTCATTTCCTCGCTTGAAAGCAAGAGCGGGCTGGGGAAGATATGCTCCTGTATGGCCTCCAATGTGCCCCTGCATGGTGTTTCAGACGAGAACATCGGGATTTCCGAGTGCCGAGTCCTGTTCAAGGAGTTCCAAAGGTTGAAGAGCGGTGGGAAGCCTGGAACGGAAACGACTGCTGAAGCTGAGCAGCCTCAGGAGGCACAAGACATGGCCGTGGAGTTGGAAACTCTTGGAGCTGATGAGAACATGGCAACCTCTGTGCCTGAGGTGGCTATGGCTACTACTGTGGTTGAGAGTGAGGAGGACAACGCGGCTCGCGAGGGCATGCTGCGACAGATGGACAGAATTCACAGGTTCTCAGGGCCTGATGCCATCTCCAGCTTGCAGAAGTCGGTCAAGAGCTACTTGAACACGACCACCAGGACGTGCTTCCTGATCGATACTCCGACCTCAAGACCTAAGGTAGCGACCGAGTTCGTCGACGCCATCAAGGGCATTGTTGCCGCCAGCAACCTGACGTCCTTCTCGATTGTTGTGACCTGTGCTGGGCGGCTCGACTATATGTCCACTCTCCGGGACAAGCTGGCGCTCTCCTTCCCTCAGGCGGAGCCCTTTGTGACGATCCTGACCACTGGCAGCGAAGTGCAAAGCCAGAAGAGGAAGACCAAATTCGCTTTGGTGCTCCACCACTGTCCGCCCAAGCAGGTGCCGACTGTGCCGACAAGTATCCTTGCCATGAAAGGCAAAGCGCGCGCATGGGAAGGCCTGAGGATGCGATGCCTGTCTCTGAGTTGCCCTCTGCGAAGCACTGCCGACAAGGCTTTGGCGCAAGGAAAGATCGATGAGGAGAACAAGAAGAAGGAAGAGCTCCGCAACATGATCGCCCTGCAGAAGATGGAGCTGAACGGCGATGATTGCGCAGAGCCTGATGATAATGAGGAGGCAATGTCTGAAGAAGAAGATCCTGGCGAGTCCGCGGGCCAGGGCCACGATGAGGGCAAGCGTGACTTTATCGTCGAACTCTTCACCTTCACGCGGTCCATGAGCTATTACACGCCGATCCTGGAGCAGCTCCTCGTTGTTGCTGGCTCTGGCGCAACTTACTTAGCCAATAGAAGAACTTTAAACTTTTTGGGCTCCCTTATTTGGTCTCTATAATAAAGTTTAAACTTTTAGTCCTGGTTATTGGAGAAGAGAGGCAACCATCGTCTTCACTTCTACATCCCATCCAGGCTCATCCGTATCAGCTGTTCTCCTGGGACAAGAGACCTTTGTGGCGACACCTTCAGCGTCTGAGCATGCGGCGGCCCACGGCCTCAAGATCCAGGAGGACATGCTCTTCAACCACTCGCGGCGGTCTATGGCTGGGATGGCGGGAAGTCTGAAGAGGCCCCTGAACAATGCCTTGCAGTTGATAGAGGGCGGCCGGGTTTCAGACGATTCTCCGTGGGACATGGCGGAATTGCAGGCTGACCCTGCTGACAACTTTGCGGGCGTCAACATCCTTTGTGGGTCGCTAGATGTGCGCGTTCCGCTGCTTCTGCAAAAGGAACTCAGTGAGCATCGACTGTCCCTGGAGTTCCATGAGCAGTTCGGCAGGGGCTTGGTCACGCAGAAGCCATTGTCTGAGGCAGGGAAACGAATGCACTCGGATTTAGTAGGGGTAAAGGGTGAGGGTGCTTAGGGTTTGGGGTGTCCAGTCATGCACGTGTGCCTGGCCAGGGCGAGGTGATCTGCAAGGCGACTGCCGCGAAGTTCACTTCAATGGAGACATTGATGGCTTTTCTCAGAATGCCCGGCCATTCATTTCTGTCCGATGGAGTGGTGACTGGGTCATAGCGGAGTAACACATAGCCTGTTAGATCCTTATTTCAATATCCCAACCATTTGCAGCGTAAATTCAGGTGAAAGTGGAGAATGTGTGCCATGGCGGCGACCGAGTCCCGCTGTACTGCGTTCTCCTCGGGGCCGCAAGGTATGCTCAGCACTACCAAGGCCAGGCACATGGGGGGTGCAGTTACTATCTGGTTAATTTGGGCGCGCGCGCCCCACCCCCACCTCGCCCCTGTTGCCCCCAAGACCCTCCAAGGCCCCGTCAAAAGCCCCTGTTCTTCAAACCCAAATTGACTTTATCGCGCAGGGTACTATTCGATGTTATTTGCAAGAACCTCAAAGCGCAAGCTGGATTATTCAAATAATATCACATGGTACCTCATATCTACTTGACATTATTGCAGCGCGAGCTGCAAAAAGCCTGATAGGTCTGCGAAAGCAACCCAATGTTGCCTTGGTGCCTGATATGAGCAAAGGCTCTGGCTCTGGCATGCAGCTTGGATGCTCTCATGTCATGTTTGAAACGTTCCTGGCTAGCTGCAGACGTGTGCCTGCAGCTACGATTGCTTTGTGATTGCTCAACTTAGATTGCCTGAGGCTGAGCTTGGTCGTCAGGACGCACAATGGCTCTGGTGTGGCGAAAAGTTCACCGCTTTGCCTGAACTATGGGCTGCACTTTGATTTGGAAGCTGCCAAAGCCCAGCAGGCTGTCGAGACTGATGATCGGGTGAAGCGGTTTCGAGGTGCGTTGGATGCTGTTTTGGCGAAGAGTGCGCAGGCAGCTTCGCAAAGAGAGACTGCCAGTGCCAGCGCGACAGCATCTGCGGTTGGTCCACCGAAGCCCGATGCGCCTTCCGCGCCCGCGCCAGCTAAGTTGCAGCCTGTGGTGCCCATGCCAAAGGCCCCAGCGCCACCAGCTGTGCCGACCCCTGCACCCGCACCAAAGGAGCAGCCGCCTGATGAAGTGAAGCCCAGCGTGGGCACAGCTGGGGAGACAGTCTTGGCGACAGGTGTGACCAATCACAACCTCACCTTCAGCGTTGACTTTGATGCAAAGCACTTTGTCCTGTCCATGCCTGACACTTCAAACAGAAAGCTCCCGCCAAGGATTGCTGCGCTTGATGTGAATTGCGCTCGCGCATTCTGTGAGATCACATGTCATGTGCAAGATTGCCTGCTCGTCCTGAGGACTTGCCTTCTGGTCTTGCGGGAGGCTGTATTGAACCAGTGCGAGAAGTCCGACCCTGAGGCCTTCTGCATCGAGAGTTCGAAAGAATATGTCTTCGAGTACAAGTCCAAGGACAGATATGGGTATTCTCGGCAATGTGCCATCTCTACATTGCAGATTGAATTGACATGTGTGTAGCTCCAGCTTACAGGACCAGGCCATGACCGCCATCATGCTGAAGGATCTGGTGTCACAACACATGATCACCAGCATTCCTGGCCATCAAGCATGGAAGCACGGGCTGCAGCAATCCAGGGAATGAGTGTTTCGAGGGAGCGCTTGCAGGCAGTCATTGAGTGCAACGCGGTGCGTCTGAGGACGGCTGGGGCTTGTCCTTCGACCCTCACGCCTGGTGCCAGCTCCTGGGTCTTCAAGTGCAAGGCCCAGGAGAAGCAGGATTTGTTGGAGATGAGTCTGCAGCTTGTCTGATTGGCGCAACTTGCCATGTTCCAAGTCTGTTACACGCTTTGATGGTTGCCTCCAGGAACCACGGAGTGGTGCGCCCGTTTTGGATCCTGAAGGTGTCGGGCGCAGAGCTGCAGATTTACGGCCGAGCCTTGGCAAATGTGAAGCAGCTAATCCTTCAGCCAGGCAAGAATGTCATCTGAATGCAAGCTGTCAGCCCTTCGGGAAAGCTTGAATAAGCCTGTGCAAAAGCAAATATTTGTGCTGCCTGCTGGGTCCAACTGCGTAAGGTATCTAGTCAGACCCTTGAAGGATCTAGAAATAGAAGCCCTCATACCTTATACTACTATTATTCAGTAATTCCCGGAATCCTTAAGGCTTCTCATTTCTAGATCCGTATGGGGGTCTGGGTAATACGAAGTAAAGCGCGCAACATCAAGTACTGATGTCATTGGACCCTTTGGAGCAGTACCACATGTGTCAAAGAAGGGCTGCAGGTCTTGTCTGAGCATAGTAGCGCAGATCCCATTTTAAGCAGCAGCTACTCATGTCGAGCTGCGTGCAATTTTTGTGCCCAAAATTTGCCAGCCTGCCTGTGAAAGCAGTGGCTGCATTTTCCATTGGGCCCATTGATGTTCGTTCATGTCTGAAGCGGTTCAATCTGCAAAATTCGCCAGCCTGCCTGTGAAAGCAGTGGCTGCATTTTCCATTTGGCCTACTGATGTTCATTCATATCTGAAGCGGTTGAAACACCGTTGAGATGGGCATTCCGCCTCTTGTGCGTGGAGTGGATGGACTAGATGAAATGCATTGGTCCTGAACCTGCGTGTGAGGCTGTGCTCATGTCATATTTCCAAAGTTGACCTGCGCCTGTTTGTGTTTCTAAAGGCCTCTGACATGCGTGGCAGCCAGCCTGTTCAGATCACTGGTCATTTTGACCTTTTGATTTTGGATCCACCTCTGCGCGTCCACCATGGCATTTGTCGAGGGATTCCATGCTGCTCCGTCGTGCGGGTTTGGGCATTTGGACCAGGACAGTCTGATTGAGAGGTGCGCTTGTTTGCGCGAACATGCGTTGCCCGTGGTCTGAGGAGATGAGCTTCTACCCCTCTGTGCCTGAGGCCCTTGTGAGGCAGGTGCGCAAGCAAGCTCGCCAGTTCTCTCGACTGAAATTATCTTTCAATTTAATCCTGTTCGGGCCAGCTTCATGTGGCAGAAATATCAAGAACTTGCGCCTGAGGTTAGGCTACAGGTACACGGATGATGGCGCATTGCGCTCCATGCCCTACCGCAAGATGAACCTGGATGCTGCTAAGGCACTGCTTCGCGGCAGCCGTTCTATGGATGTTATGCATTTGAGAATGCCGTCTGCCAAATTCCAGAGTTACGTCGAGAAGGGCGTATTCACAATGGGGCAAGACGGCGTGTCGCTGCCAGGTCAGGAAGATGTCTTTTGAAGCGCAGGTTAGGTTCATGTGAATTTCAGCTTAAGTGAGTCACCTGATGTCTTTGCCATGCGTTGCGCTGGCTTGCCTGAGGTTCATGGTCGGCCGAAGCTGGTACACGGATAACAAGCTTCAAGCAGCCAAGCATGGCGTGGAGTTCACATTTTTCAAATCTACGGTGACTGTTGCGTGGGAAATGTCACAGGGAGGGCATGAATCTGCAGCTGGCGCTTCCCAGCCTGACGCACATCCGACTCCAAAGCCTCCTGCCAGCTCCGCATCCCAGACTGAAGCAGCATCGACAGCTGTGGTTGAGATTCCAGAGAAGGTTCCCGAGACTCCGAACGTGCTTGAGACAAGTGGCGGTGATCCGGTGCGCACATGTCAGTGGCAGTACTATGTGCTGACCAACACCACGTTGATGGACAAGGTCAGGCACTGTTTGCTTCGCAATTGCCTGAAGAAGCTGAGTCCGGATGAAGTCCCAACAATCTTGATGTCTGATGCTGCTGACCTTGCTCTGTTGTCATGGTTCCTGCAGATGGGCACGGAGGAGGCCTCGCGCGTTGAGATCAGCAGACTTGGCTCTGCTCGCTTTATGCCATACCTCACCCGGTGCGGCTTGTCACAGTCCCCCTTGCTGGATTTCAGCTGGACGAGCGTGTCATTTGCAGAGGTCATGCGTGAGGTGGAGACCAGCTCGGTGACCGCCCGAATCATTGTGCACAAGTCGCCTGAGAAGACCCTCAATGATGTCTTGTCAGAACTAGACATGAAGTGTGAGAAGCAAAAGTTGCTGGAGTGGGAGATGGCTGCTGCCAGGCCAGCATTCAGGTAGCAGCGTTGCAGTTGCCAGACTTGCAAGTGTCCCTCTTGTGGAAATCCAGCCTGAGGTTGCGGACGCGGAGGACTCTCTCCAGATTGCCAAGGCTGGGAAAGAGCGGGCGGAGAAGGCCATTGAAGAACTCAAGAAGCGAAAGCACTCGGAGATCGAAAAGGCCTGAGTGAAGTCAGCCCGCGCCATTGATTGACTATTCTTCTCAGACCTCTGTGAAAAAGAGTCTACGCTTTCCTGGCAATAAGCATGGCAGTGTGGGCAACTTGTGCATGGTCTGAGGGGATAGCAAATCATGAGAATTTCTTCCGCTTCAAGTGTCAAGTGCACTTTTCAAGCCTGAAAGACTGTCGGCAAGTCCTGGGCCAGGCCAGCGCGGCTTGATTTGAAGTCGAAAGTATCTTCTAAATGCAATCTTGCCTTTTGCAGCCTGGCCCAGCATTGTCCCAAACCGGCGCTGTTGTCCTGTGACGACCCCGAATTTTTAACACGCACTTGCTTGACGGATCGAAGCTTCATGCAAAAGCAGGGATGGCGCCAGCGCCCCAAAAATGAGGGCAATATATCATCATGTGCTATCCTGCTTGCCCTTGCCAGCTCCATGCGTATGTCAAAAGCTTTTCATGGGGAGTCTTTGTGCTGGCAGGCCAATGCTGCCGTGTGATTTTTCTTCAGGCACGGGAGCAGACAGGCTGAGAATTTTGTGAAGTCGGATTCCCCAAACTGCATGTGTCTGAAATATATTTGCCCCACTGCCTCTGCGTGAGGCTGAAGAGAACTCGACCAGCCTGGGCTGCGTGTAGGCCTCAGGTTCACATGGTTTGCGGGTTGAGGGTTCATAGGTTATAGGTCCTTATAGGTTTTATAGGGTATCAAGTCATAAAAGCCCACTCATGCAAGCGTGTAGCAGCATCCATGCATGCGTGGAAGATGTCTCATCTAACGCTACACATGTCACATACGATGTGGTGCTCATTGCGGTGCATGATGGTGCGACAGGGGTGTTTGGGGGCATGTTCGTGTGATTGGGTGTTTGGGGTTCATGTTCTTGGGAGGAATGTTTGGGGCGTTTGGGGTACATATTTGTTTGGCAGGGTGCTTGGGGCGCACGGTCATGGGCTTGGGCGTTTTGGGTGATAGGTTGCTTGAGCATGCTCATTCGACAGGAATTTCGGGCGCATGCTTGCCACCCCCTTTGGGATCCCCTTCAATTAGGCTTGATTAAGGTTGATGCAGGGGCAGCCAAAGAAAGGAACCCTGAGCGTAGGGACTTGTTGTAGATACTCTGTAGGGTTGATGAACCCGCTTGATCGACAGATAGATAGTAAACAATGGGGCGCGGTCATCGGCCGGAGCATGTGGGGAGCCTGAACATAGGGTCTTGGGTTAAAAATATCCTGGATTTAGGATGTCTCAAAATTTGAGCGCATTCGTGCGACAGGGCATTCAGAGCTCACCTTCGTGGTGTGACGCAATGTTTGAGGTGCAGGCTTATGTCATGGGGTCTGGGGAGAAGTTCAGCATCTTCCGTCTTTCGTATTCGAGTGATCAGTACGAACTTCAATTGCCGTGTGTAGGGAATTTAGATCTAGGATTTGGGGATAGGTAAGGTCCAGGCAATCCAAAACCCTGAAATAATGGGGCTCTGGGACAAAACCGGGTTTTTAAGGCCAAAGACGGATTTTTCCAAACACCCTACATTTGAACATTTTCGGCTGTTGTCCCGGTACCCGATAATAGGAATTCAACATGCCACTTGATTACGGGTAAATACGGGGTCTGCACGGGTTCAATATGGGGTTTGCACTGGTTCGGGAAAGCCGTGTCTTCCCGAATTATATTGGGATTTATGGGTTTTTATGGGTTAAATATAGGGTTCGCACGGATTAAATATGGGGTTCGCAGAGGTTCGGGAAAACCGGGTTTTCCCAAGCCATCTCAGGATTTCTGGTTTTTATGTGCTGAATTTGGGGTTCGCATGGGTTAAATATGGGTTCTCGGGAAAAGCAGCTGAACACCTAGTTTTTCTGCAGCGCAATCTGACAAAGCTCACTTCTTGCACTGGGGATGGGATGAAGTATTGAGAAGCATGCAGGGTTTCTCGGAATAACCGGGCTTTTTAGGTGAGAACCGGGTTTTACTCGAAACGTGCCTTTAAAGACGGGGTTTGTACAAAGAGTCTGTCTTTTCTTGGGTTTTGGATTCCCTGGGCAGCATAGATCATGAAGCCATGCCATCCAAGAAAAATGACAAATGGCGATTCGTATAGCAATTATCCAGATCACGATGGTACTGCCTGCAGTCATGCCTTACTACATGAAGGATTGATTCTACACCTTGCAAGACTCGAGGTGTTGCCCGCATGGGGCTTTTCAATCAAAACCACAAAAGCTACATCATCATTGGGCGTCATGTACTACCGCAATCTCGACAACTATGTTATCGAATCGTGGTCTTGCAAATCTGCTGACCTGCTGGCCCAACCGGGTGGGTTAAGGGTCGCACTGCGGGCTTACTTTTGACACGGCCAGGCAATCTGATTCTAATGACTCCGGCTTAGGAAGCCGAGATGCGGCGCATGCCTGGTGCGCCTTTGTGGATTGCTTTGGACCCGCATGTGATTTGACTTCAAGGGAATTGAAGCCAACAGCCAATGTTCATGATTTCGCCCCTTGTTGTTCGTCCAGGTTTCGCTTGTGCTCCGCTCTGGCACATTAATAGTATTCTTTCCATTGGCTGCGTGACGAGCAACATGCATGTCCCGTGGTGATGCGCATAAGTTCCCGCGAGCTGGCTTTGGGCTCTAGTGCATGCCATATTGTTTAGAAAAGTGTTCTATTTTCGGTTACCACTGCGCGCGCGTTGCTCGTATGTATGATAATGGGTCCTGTCGGTTCTAGTGCTCTTATTAATCCAAAGCCCTGCACATGTTCATTTGCCTCACGCGAAAGCTGATTTGTAATCTCAATACGTACTTACCTATGATATCTAGGCAGTTCCTGTATACAGAATGCATGAACATGACATGAGCCCCAATTTCATAACCTTGCGAGCAAAAACCTCAACCGCGCCTCAACAGAACCAGACAGCAGCATCCACTCGGCATCACGAAGCATAACCATCGGTGATCACCTGAGCTTGCGTCAATATTGCTTGTTCGTGGTAAATGCGGAACTCGCTTAGGGCTCCACATGTGGTTTCGCAGTTCTGAGAAGCATTGTTTTGTGTTATTGTTTTTACCCTAAGCCCCAAACCCTAAACCCTAAACCCTAAAACCCTAAAACCCTAAACCCTAAAACCCTAAACCCTAACAAGGACTTTGACTACTTCACAATAAGGATAATGTTAATCCCGGCAAACATTTGTACTGGGTTCAGTATTATGACAAATATCGGTTTGAAGCACAAGATGATTGGGCAGCAGCGCATGGCCATAACATTCATTGGGAGTGGGCTTCTCCCAGGTACGTGACAGCTCTTCCTGTCTGAGCACGGAGAGGCGGTTGCTGGCGTGCTTGTTTGCCAGCGCCAGGATAAGCATCATGCGTTCTGCTGTGTACTTTGTGTTGGCGATACATAGACAGACTCGAGCTTGTGAGCGCGTTCCTGCAGATTGGCTGGCTCATCATGGTCTACTAAAACAACAGTGCGCATGATCCATGCGAAATCGTTTGAAGTCATGTAAGCTCACGCGAGCATGTTCGGTATGATATTGATAGTCAGGCTGGACATTCCAATAGGAGTGTCAGAACTCTCAGTAGGCCCCTACGCTACATTCCAGCAATTGCACTTCTCTGGCCATGCTTGCCCCTTCGGATACTGAAAGCTGTCACTCAGGGCATTTGGCCGACAGTAGTTGTAATGAGGAATCTGAGCTGGAAATCGTCCTCCGGCCTGAGATCATGCAGGAAGAGCAGGATGATGACAGTCCTGCTTTAGAGCAGGTGCCTCTGCAGCAATCAATGGCCAGCCCAGCTAGAGTATCTCCTTCTGATATGCCTCTCGAAATGATTGAAGAAGCCACAGCGGATCCTGAGCCAAGCGGCAGCGCAGTGTGGCGATTGGGCTTGAACTGCGGAGACTTTGTTTCACAAGTTGGCAATCGTTGCCTGCAGCCACAGTCTCAGGTCCTGGTGGCCAATGTGGTCGCAAACGCTCGTGCAGCCAACAAGGCAACTGTGAAACAATTGTTGTCTGAAATCAGGCCTAGTGAGACTGGAACCCAACACCAATCGCTGCCTGTTTACATGGCTTCTCAACTCCTCGGGCTTGGAGCGCGAACGGTCACCCGCATATGGAATCAACTTGAAAATAATGGCTGGAGGCCTGAGCAGCTACATGGTGGGCAAAGGGCAAAGGAGAACAGAAATGCTGAGCCTGATGACCTGCCTGAAGCTGATGAGACTTTGCAGCTTGAGGAGGAAGTTGATGAGAAGACCTTCGCCATGCGCAATGTCGTCGCAAGGGCAATTTCTTGTGCAGTCGAAGGCCAGAGCGGACTTGCCTACGAGCGTGAGGTTTGCCGATTGCAGCTAGCAGGCCTGAACGTGGGGACAGCGCTGCATGGCCGAAGGTTCTTCCAGGAAGTGGTTCACTCTTCATCGCTTGTGCTCAAGCAATTGGAGGCGCTCATGTGGGATGCGCCTCTAAAATCCACAGGCGTTCCGTCTGACTTCGCGCTGGTCATAGACCCGGTGAGTCTTGGCACAGGTTTCACCGCCCGTCACGACACAGTGTTGATGATGAATCTCAATATTGTGCACAGCGGGACAGGGTGCTTGACGACACCTATGATAGGCGCTCCCACTCTTGGGGCCGGAGACCATGGCGGCGATGGCCTCAAATCATTGTGCCTATGTACCATGGCTGAACACCCGGCCATGTTTGATGCGGCGACACTGCAAAAGCGCCTCTCCTTGATAGGAGGCGATGGAGGGATCGTGCGCGGAGGACCTCACCACAGACACAAGTCGACGGCAGCTGCAGAAAAGTTGTGGAGGCATCCACAGCGACTTGATGCCTGAGGACACAGGGGATGCCTTCCTGGATTGCGTCGATTGGGATTCTTTTCACAGAGACGACTTGGGCTACACTCGTGCAATTAAGAGTTCTGTTCCTGCCCAGGAACTCTATACGCTTGCCAAGGACTTAGACCATTTGTTCAACTTTGGGGATGGACGCATCATCTTTCGATCCTTGGGCAAGGAAATGGATGATGTGCCGAAGGGGCATCTTCGTCAAGTGGGTGGCACAAGGAAAGCAGGCTCATTGGCCCTTGTGGCGGACAGTATTATTCAGCATCTGAAGCGAATAACTGTCGGGTTGCAGATGCGGTACCGCTGGAAGCAAGAAGGACATGGGCAATATAGCCTGACGAGATTGTCTGAGATATCTCGAAGGCTTCTGGACCCAGCTTTCATTTGCTTCACCATGCTCGTTGCTGACGTGACTCGTGGGCCTGTGCACCAGCATATCTTGACCATACAGGCTGCTCTGGAACCTTGGTCTTGCAAATCTGCTGACCTGCTATTCGTCCAACAGTTGGAGTTCATCCTGCAGGGTTACCAGCACCTTGAGCAGCACATCATGGTCACCGTGTTGTTGGCTCAGCACTGCTCACTTCGCGAGAGAGCCAGTTCCTTAACCGCAAGTTTGGTTCAATCTCGGTGTCTGGAATTTTGAATTTGGGCTCTTGGTGCATGATGCTGATACGTAAGTGTTGGTGGTACCTTGTGAGCCTAGTGAGCCTCATGATGCAAGCAAGTATGTTGGATTACTTTAATTTTATTTCTGTAGAATTCGAGATTCTTCAAACTATCAAATGCTGGTAAGAATAGTTTTCCACGCGTGATCAATCACGTCAAGGTTTTCTTCTGGCATGGAGCTCTGACAAGAGACACCGGCAGTTCGCTCCTACCTTCCTGAAGCACGCAAACCAGCTGCTGCTGTTTGTTCCTCCTTCTGTTGGAGGTGTGCAGCTGGAACTTGCTTTGCCCGAAGCCCGCACTAAAAGCAGAGTGGTTGGTCCCCATTGTCAGTGTGCGTCTGAGCTTCAAGCGAAACCAAAGAGGGGCACGCGTGTGTGCACATGGAAGGTGCATGAGGGGCGTTGCAAAAAACGATGCAAATTCAGCCTCTGCCACAAGAAGCTCAATGTGCCTGTATGGGTTGCCAGCTCCTGCAACAGTGAACCAAGCAGGACTGATTTGCCCCGCTTCCAGGAGAGTCCGAAGGTGGCGCCAGGACGAGCCAGACCAGGCCTTTTGCGGCAGCACCTGCAATCACATCGCCTGAGTGATGATCAAAAAGATCACGCCTGGAATACAACTGGTGGCATGTGTGCTTGCGGCTGGACTTCGCGCTGTATGGTTCCAAGGGCTGTGTACGCCTGTCATGAGAAAATTCTGGAAGGTCTTCATGCGGCCACGCGTTTCGTGAAGCAACTGCTATCTGAGTTCCAGTTGCTGACAGGGCGTGTTGGTGTCAACGATGGAATGGCATTGCTTTTGACAAGCCTGCATGAGTGTTTCTGCTGGGATCAACTTGTCATCAAGCAGCCAACACAGCGTCAGATTGCAGCGTTTGTGCAGTCTTGGAAATTACTCAAGCCATTCCTGTCCAAAACTGCATGGCCCGATCGAGAAATTTTTCCGCTGCGTTACTATTCCTGGGAACTCGATGAGAAGGACACTGTTCAGGGCTCAGGGTTAAGGTTTAGGGTTTAGGCTTAGGAATTCTGGTATTTAGGAGTACCACCTATTGCTGACAACCCAAATTGAATCTCCCGAAGCCAACAAGCTTAGATGAAGGCTGCAGAAACCCTGAACCCCGCAATTCCTAACTGACTCGGAGGAAATGGAACGGCAGTACTTACTGCTGTGCATGAGAGTTCGGAATGCCGCACGTGCTGCGGATGGCAAAGTCTTGAAGCATCCCGTGCCTGATGATGTACGTGCTTCTGCAGAGAGATGGTGGTGCACGTCCTCATACAAAGTGCAGCCGGTGTGGGTGCTGGGCTGGTTGCGACATGTCATCAGCAAAATGCTTCCTTCAGCAGCTTTGAAGCTACAATGGGATGTGACTGACAGGGTGTCCCGCTTCCTCTGCAATTTGCCAGAAGCTGCTTCTTCGACTCACTCAGTGCCTGCGCAAGACCTTCTGCTTTCTTTCAGGCATGGACGCCGAAAGAGAAGGAAAACAGCAGATAATGTGTTCAGTGATCTGCGCAGCTGGAATGGGAAGGTTGTCAGGATCATGGCGATCAACCGTGTTGTGCAGGCTGACGCAGTCAGCAGAAGCATCGACTGCTCGTCTTTCTTTGCGCAGGGCACTGTGGAGATGACAGCCCGTGCCTCGTCATGGCATGCGGTGCGGCTGCATCACCGATGCAGAGTGCTACGCGGCCCGGAAAGTTCCTGCGAAAGGCTCGGCAGCATCGCGCATCAGCAATGGGATTCGCAACAGAATCTGGCCCCGGCAAGTTTGATGGCGCGCGTACACCTCATGTCCGCTGGGGTCAAATGCTTGGGCACTCAGAGAGACAGCCTGATAGTCAATCAGGTGGCGTCTCTTTTTCTGTCTGCGAAAAGGTCTGCGCTTCATGTTCGGCCTGAGGTTGCACAAATCCGCGAGCATCGAGAAATGATGGCTGAAAGTCTGAGTGGACATGATCTTCAACTGTATGCTGCTGAAGGCAACCTTTTTCCAGAAGGCCTGACCTCTGTTACTGCGATTCGAGCTGAAACATCTGCATCCCTGTCGAAGTCCTTGCCTTCAACTCTCCCGCCTGTGCTACAGGAAGCACTGCCTGAAACTGTTGATGCTGCAACCGGGCAAATCAAGGGCCTGATGCTGTCGACTGGCCTGCAGCGCTTGTCCAAGAAGAGCCCGGCTAATAGCACTTTGCGGGATGCTATGTGTTCATATCTAGATACTGAGGCCGGAAAGAAATGGCAGCAGGAACGCAGCCTGGTGTTTGGTGAGTGACTCAAGCTGAGAAGTCGCTGCTGAAAAATTGGCTGCGCAGGGCTAAACTCCATCTATGAAAGACCTCATTGCAAACCCTCTCAGGCTCGCATTCGCAACCAATATTCCCCTGGGAACCTGAATACCAAAACCCTGACCCCTTACCCTGAACCCTGGATCATCATGAAAACATTGGCTACACTCCATTTATGAAAGACCTCATTACAGGTCCTCCCAGGCCTATAGTCCCCCTTAAGTAGATAGAATATGGGGTATATGGGGATCTTCTTATAATATACCCAAAGCCATATTCTATCTACTTAAGGGGGACTATGCATGCAGACAGCAACCAAAATTCCTCAGGGAACCTGAATACCTAATGCTTCCGGACCGTCACAGAACGCTTTTCCCAGTCCGGCTTTGTGTAGTGGACTCCCAGTATTGAACCTTGCGATGCTGTATTGGCCATGCAAGCGGCAAAACCCTGACCCCTTACCCTGAAACCTGGATCCCCATGAAAACATTGGCTAAACTCCATCCATGAAAGACCTCATTGCAAACCCTCTCAGGCTCACATTCGCAACCAACATTCCTCAGGGAACCTGAATACCAAAACCCTGACCCCTTACCCTGAACCCTGGATCCCCATGAAAACATTGGCTACACTCCATCTATGAAAGACCTCATTACAGGTCCTCCCAGGCCTATAGTCCCCCTTAAGTAGATAGAATATGGGGTATATGGGGATCTTCTTATAATATACCCAAAGCCATATTCTATCTACTTAAGGGGGGGGATGCATGCAGACAGCAACCAAAATTCCTCAGGGAACCTGAATACCTAAACCCTTACCCTTACCCTGAAACCTGGATCCCCGTGAAAACATTGACTAAACTCCATCTATGGACCTCATTACAGGCCCTCTCAGGCCCACCTTCGGACAGGAACCAAAATTCCTCAGGTAACCTGAAGACCTAAACCCTGACCCCTTACCCTCAAACCCTGGATCCCATGAAAACATTGGCCAAAACTTAAAACTCCATCTATGAAAGACCTCATTACAGGCCCTCTCAGGCCCACCTTCGGTGACAGGAAGCAAAATTCCCCAGGGATCCCCAGGGAACCTGAAGACCGAAACCCTGACACCTTACCCTGAAACCCTACATCCCCATGAAAGCATTGGCTAAACTCTATCTATGAAAGACCTCATTATAGGCCCTCTCAGGCCCCCATTCGACAGGAGCCAAAATTCCGCAAATCCTGCCATGCAATGTTGTAGCCATGCAGCTGGCAAATAAGAATCATCAGCCTTCCCATTCTCAATGCCTCGTGCCAGGTGGGCCTGCAAACGCTGCAAAGCCTGATCGCCGCAACGCCTGAGGGAAAAAAAACAAAATGTCAAGTTTGTGGCAATGGCAGATTGGGTTTCAAGCAGAGATTTCAGATCCAGCAGCGATAAAGCCTGAATCCAAAATCAACTGGTAATCCAAGCTATTTTTCAGCAACTTATCCCTGCCATCAAAAGTTGTTTGAAAGTTACTGGGCCCAACCACGTTTCCAACTTGCCAAAGTCACTGCTGCGGAAGGTTCATACTGAAGGTCAGCATCATGATAAAACAGGATGTGGCCTC